TCTTGCAGAAGACCTGGGTTCGAATCCCAGCACCCACGTGGCAGCTAACAGTCTGAAACTCCAGTTCCAGGGGATTCGCCAGCCTCTTCTGACCTCCGTAGGCATTGCATGACACAGGTGCACTTACCCACATGCAGACAATTCACACATACACATAAAATAAAAAAATTAAATAAAGAATGTTGTAATGTTCTTTGGTATATAAACCAGGCATTTCAAGGGGAGATGCAAAGGTCAGGACAAATAGCATTAGAATGAATGGCTGGGAACAGGTAATTGCTGCCAACACAAGTATTTCAAAGGACCATAAGGATCCATGCAGGCTGGGAAGTGAACTCCCTTTCTCACCAACACAGGCTTAAGGACTCTACATGCCCTAACCCATCCCTGCCCCACCCCAAGTTCCCTCCTGCTATCCCCTCTTCCTTGGCACATGGCCCCATAGTCCTTTTGGAAGAGCTTTAGAAACCAGCCCAGGCATAATGCCTCAGAAGCAGGTCTTTGGAACTTCTGTGCTAGCCAACCATCCCTCAACATGCAGCACCCTGGCATGGTATCACCTGGCACTGACTGGTGCAGCTTCTAGAAAGCACTGCATCCAAGGGCTAGCAGAGAGAACAGGAATGTGGGAAAGTTCCAGGGTTTGGGGGTCAAGGAGGACCCTCCAAACATGAGAAATGTCTTTCAGCATCCTTTCCCTGCACTACCAACGACCAGGGCACAGGCAGCCTATGATCACTTTCGGATGCAGGAGCAAAGGAGGACAGAGCACGCCAGGAAAGACAGGAAGCTGGTGCCAGGGGTCCGATGTAAGCCATAGTGGACACAAGGATCCTGTGGCTGCCACTGATCACACAGAACCCCATAAATCCGCCAAGGGGAACAGAGGAGACGCATCTGGCCAAACTACTGAAAATCTGCTGAGGCTGGAGGTCAGATCCATAAAAACCACTGTCATGACTTTGGTTTTCCACATCAGGAAACAAAAGGTTGAAAACAGGTCCGATTGCCTTGGGTGATATCTGGGAACTAGCTAGCTATCAGCTGGTCACCCATCGCAGCCTTACTGTAAACATGGTCTAGGCTGACTCCCTGCTTTCCTCCTGGGAGCCTGGTCTTCTAGTAGGCGCTATAGTCAGTGTTCATGTGACCAGCACTCAGAAAGACCCCAGTCACAAAGCAACTTCCCTGGGCAGAAGCAAGGCACACCTGGGGGTGCACTTTTGCCTCCTGTGGAAGAATGAGTTGCATGCACTGCT